AAAAGTGGATACTATGTTATTAGAATCAACTGGCCACTGCCAGGCAACTGAAAATTAAAATTTTTTGATCTACTTCATGATATTAAATGATAGCAACCTATCCATTTCTGAAAGAAAAATAAAAAATTAATTTTAAAACATTGTGCTTACCTATCAGACATGTTGGCCCACTGTAGGGCAGCTTGCATTTACAAGTGAAGCCTTTTTCATTAAAATTACAAGTTCCACCATTTTTGCATGGGTTTTCAGAACAAGGATCTGAAATTTTTTAAAATATACTATTTATAAACTGTTAAGACCAAGTAATAAACATTTGATGTAATGGAATAAATGATATCAAAAACTAATATCACAAGGTTTAAGGAATGTTGGAAAAATATAAATCTTAAGCATGTATAAGCAACAAGTCAAAAGAAACTAAATTAAAGAGCTTCTAAACTGATACATCACGCTTAATTTAATTATATAATTTAACTATTTGAAAGAAAAAAAGCATTCTAGCAAAAATATTTTTTCAGTTTATTAAAATATTTTTCTATAATCTCGTAATATTTACTTCATTTCTTCTATATGTCTTTTAATTAATTTAGAACACTTTTTTTGTTTATTTAATATTGTATGTTTTGAATTTTAAAGTACAATATTTTTATTATATTTAATAATTTCTCCAAACATAATTAAAAAATGTCACTACCTTTTTCACATTTTTCTCCGGAATATGGCGCTTTACAGTTGCATTTATATCCATTTTCAGAAACAGTACATATTCCTCCGTTTTCACAGGGATTAACTGTGCATGGGTCTTTAAAATAGAAGAAATAATTATAATTATATTCGCATTTTAAATAGAAAATATTTATGTTGATAATAAATTTTTACTCTTTTCGCATCTTTCTCCACTGAATGGAATTTTACAGCTGCATTTAAAGTTGTTTCCAAATACATTGCATGTACCGCCATTACTGCATGGTTTACTGGAGCAAGGATCTGAAAAGTGTGAAGTCTGGTTATATCTTATTATTCAGCACATTTTATTATTTAATAAGCTAATAAACCTTATATTTTTTTGTTAATAAAGTAAATTTGCAATTTACAATGTATTTCATTAGTTACTGATTTCAATATATAAAAATAGAGTTTATCATTGAAAAACAAAAAAAAAAGTTCCCACTTTCTGAGGTGACACTTTCCCTTCTGTCCCTCCTGAAACTGAAATATTTAGATAAGTTATAAATTAAATTATAATGCCTGATAATTTTATTTTTTTAGCAATTAAATGCTCTAATACTACTAATGAAAACTATTTTGATATTCGCTGAGGAGAACATTATCCGTCTTGTCTCCCCCTTAAAATCAAAAGGTTTAGGTACAGAGTGACAATTATTCAACTGTATGAAATAAAACCCTCATAAACGGTTTGTATGATAAATTTTAAACTTTGTGGCTGACTACCAGGTATGATAGGAATCAGTATGCGCATGCAACCTGTTGTTTTCGGCTATTTAAAGGTGAAAGTGTCGAGGTCGTTGACGGCATGGTGACTACTGAACGATCCGTGAAGATTTTGGGAAATGATTTCATCCCCATCATCCAAAGTGCCCCTAATTCCGACAAGATATGGTTCCAGCAAGACGGAGTTAGACCCCATCTGGGCAAGAGAGTGTTTGATGTCCGGGTGAGCATTTTGGGGACAGAATTCTGGATCTGGGGAACCTAAAGGCCACAGAACTGGGGCTCCCTTGGCCACCATATTCTCCAGATCTGAATACATCTGATTCATTTTCGCGAGGTTGTATTAAAGAGAATATGTACAGAGTGACTTAGAAATTTTCTTTTTCGTTAACCTTTTCGAGACGGGAGAGTCATAAATGTATTCGTACGGAATCAGAGTCCGGATGGAAAAAAAGAAAATATGGTAGCTTAAGTTTGGTTTTGACTGATTTGACAGGCTTATTTTTCACTTTACTTTAACTCTAGCACATCTGATCCGTGTAGAGCAGAATTTTTTGCAAGAAATCCAGTTTTTCATCCAAATTTTAAATCTACTGAAATTTCTTGCATATCAAAGTTTTTTTTTACAGGTTTTTTAATACTTCATGATATACCTGAAACTAACTACTCGCCACCTAGAGAGTCAACAAAAGAAAAGTAGCCACTTAAATAAACAACAGGTCACTTTTGATAATTGCTTTGTTTTTTACATATTTTGAAAATTACTAAACTTGTTAGTATATATGAGTACATCAAAGCAGAAATACTCTGGTAAGCAGAATTTTCATCAAAACGTTAAGTTGCAAAGTATACATTTGCCTCTCTGAATATTTTTTAAATCAATCTTCTTAAAATCAGCATATTTAACTAAATTTTGTCAAATATTCTTATTATTTTTCATTCAGCTGTGTCTTTTTATAACAGCAGATTATTTCTAGAATGATATTGTTTAAATATTATTTTATCCAAGCAAAAAAGAAATTTGCTAAAAGTGGCTACTAAATTCATCTATCGATATCAGTCTCGTACTCATTATATTTTAGGGAAAAGTGGATACTATGTTATTAGAATCAACCGGCCACTGCCTGGCAACTGAAAATTAAAATTTTTAGATCTACTTCATGATATTAAATGATAGCAACCTATCCATTTCTGAAAGAAAATAAAAAATGACTTTTAAAACATTGTGTTTACCTATCAGACATGTTGGCCCACTGTAGGGCTGCTTGCATTTACAAGTGAAGCCTTTTTCATTAAAAGTGCAAGTTCCACCATTTTTGCATGGGTTTTCAGAACAAGGATCTGTAATTTTTATCAAAATAAACCATTTAAAAACCGCACGAACATTTTATGATATGGAATGGAAAAATCCTATCAAAGTACAATTTCACAATATATGAACTATAATGAATCTATCGTTACAAAACAAAATCTGCTATTATATACAGAATGAATATGTAAATAATATTCTGTACAACCTTTTTCACACCGTGTTCCATTATATGGAGCTTTGCAGTCACATTTATACTTATTAGGAGATGTGGTTCTGCACGTGCCTCCGTTTTGACACAATTGTCTATTATAACAGACATCTATAAAGAATTATAACAAGTGACATATATTATCAGTAAAAATAACAGCCTGTAGGTTATTAAACTTTCGATAATTTCGATTAAAAAATACAATTAGCGAAAACATTACATTCTGCAATGCGATTTCAAGTATGATTGCTTTTCTTTCAATAAATAAAAAACAAATATAGCAAGATCGTAAAGCGGAGGCAGAAT